GGGGGGGGGGGGCGTTGACTCTGGACTCGGGTCAGATCTCCTTCTGTCGGTGTGATGGATTGTGTCGTATTGATCCTCTCTGAGCTGCTGCTGCTGGGAGGGACAGACATTAATGGACTACAAACATGGAGAGATGCTAATTTATGGACTACAAATGTGTCAGCTGGAACTGCACTGATTACAGATGCAGATGGAGGACGTGGTTTACGAAGGTGTGGTCCTCCGTAGTCGTCGTAGACCATGAAGGTCGAACTGAAACGAGATGCGTTGGTCGTCGGAGGACTTCCTCTGCGTCAGCAGCTGTTCCCGCCCTTTTTGTTGCCCAGCAACCATGAAAACATGTAACTTTTTCTCACAAAAACTTCCGCCATCTACTAGGACTCAGGGATGAAGTGATTAGACTTTGGAGGTCAAAGGTCAAAGGTCTATGACTCTGGATAAACAGGGATGTGACCTGGAAGTAGTCCGAGTGGCGGAGGGATACGACCACGAGGAGGTGGCTCTAGTTTCGTCTGTAAAATAACAGAATCAATTAGTCGATCGTCTGAATCTAAAGCAAATCAATCAGTCGGATAATTTCAACTTTCATGGCTCTGTGTGTGTGTGTGTGTGTGTGTGTGTGTGTGTGTGTGTGTGTGTGTGTGTGTGTGTGTGTGACGCAGACACACGGAGCTAAAATAAAAGCTGCATGTGGGTCAGACCGACTGAGGAGCTCCATCAGGCTGCTGAGACAAAAACATCAGATGAAGACGACGTGGATCAGACTCTGCAGCACACACACACACACACACACACACACACACACACACACACACACACACACCCACACACACACACACACATAGAGTCATAAAGTTGAGGTGTGAACGTCACCTTCAGTAACGATGGACTCTCACCTGTCTGGTTTTACCTGCTCAGGTCTGAAGCATCTCACACATATATATTGTTAACATATGTGGTGTCAGCATATAAACTCATCATACAGATATTAATATATGTGTATATATATATATATATATTAATATATTAATATCTATAGCACCAGAAGAGTGGCTGTGGGCGGGGCCACAAGAAAAACACCCTTTGTAGACACTTTTGAAAGACGCATCATTGAATAATATTAATTTGACACATGAAATACTGATTGAACTGAACTGTAATGTGGATGATGTGATTACCTGATACTCACCTGTGCAGGTGCTGTAACCTGACTCCACCCGCTGTGTTTTGTTGGCCGTCAGGGTGGAGGGAACGGAGAGCAACAGTTCTGTTTTTGATTCTTCTTTTATTTTGGAAAGTCAACCGGAGAATATTAATGAATAAGATTCAGTTATTGCAAATATTATATGTGTGTGTGTGTGTGTGTGAGTGTGTGAGTGTGTGTGAGTGTGAGTGTGTGTTTAGTGACACGGCTTCACTTCATCGACTTTATTTTAAATGACTCAAACTCAGTCTGAGAGAAATGTTATTTACATTCTGTTTCACAGCGTCACTCCTCACCTGAGCACCTGCCTCAACACGCTGGCTGCTGTGTGTGTGTGTGTGTGTGTGTGTGTGTGTGTGTGTGTGTGTGTGTGTGTGTGTGT